CAACTTCCTGGTCACCCCCCGTGGACACACGAAGCAGGCTGCTGTTCCACGAGCTCCCACCAAAACCCCACCAGTCTGGTTCTCTCGCCTGCCACCACTGTCCTTCCCACGGACCACGGGCCCAGCCCCTCCGCGTCCTCCCCCGACCACACACAGGAGACAACTCTCAGCGCCCTGCCCTCGGCCGCCCCAGAGGCCACCGCTGCCCCGTTCCCTCACCGGGCGCCGGGCCACCCAACACTGACAGAAAGAACCTCCGTACTTGGCTCTCGACAGCCCCGTGACAGTTACCGCCACCGTTGTCCCGACAGGTGAGGCAGAGAGGCGATTCTACTGCCTAAGACACACAGCAACTCGGTGGTGGGTCAGGACTCCAGCACGGGCAGCCTGAGCCTCGAGCCAGTGACCTGGCCGCTCTCCAGGCACAGGGCTCCCCGTGCACAGAGAGAACAGGTCCTCGGTCATCGTGAATCTTCTGCGGCCGTCACCAGCCCTGCTGGCCTCGGGACAGCTTGAGAGCACCATAACTCACATAGACACAGAGTGACAGAGGTGACAAGGCCTAATCATACTCCAGGCGGTTTGAGACGACAGCCCAAATGCTTCGCACGAACAGCAGGGAAAGAGCCACACAAAGAATTATGACCCTGATGCTGATCTTCACCGCCCCCGCCTCGGGGGTGACACAGAACCCATCGGCCGGCCGGCTGCCGGGAAAGCACACAGCCAAGGGCAGTGCCGCTCGCAGCCGGAGACGGGCAGCGTGCGCAAGGACCGCCCACCCACCCGAGTCCCCTCACCACACAAGGCCCAGGCGTCCCCAGTCAAGGCCCAGCGCTCGTGGCAGCGGCGGGAATGACACGCTGGCCGTGTGTGGCAGGACTGTGACCCTGGGTGCACCAGGGCTCATGACCCCTGACAGCTTGTGACCGGGGGCTCTCGGGAGGCAGCTCTCACAGAGAGGAAAATGCCATGCTTCAAACCACCTACGGCGACGGGACGGCCCGGGGCTCAGATGTGCTTACGGAAGCGGCCCAGGGTCCCGGGACTCATCCGCCCCAAGTGCCAGGACCCTCAGCACGAGCGCGCAGGGCAAGGGCTGCGGGGCTGGTTCTCGAGGGCCCGTGGCAGCTCCCCCTGCCTCCACATCTGTCACAGGTGCAGATGCTCCCCCCACCCCCGCACCCACACCAGTCACAGGCGCCGTGGTCTGGGCCCCAAAGGAAAACAACCTCCCAGCCATGGCCCGGCTCTAGAAGCCAACAGCGAGCGGTGCACAGGTTGTGTAGTGAGGCCCGGCGAGGGCGAGGCGGCTCACAACAGCATCCCGTGAGCTCTGGGCGGAGCACGGGGTCACAGGACACACCCAGATCCTCCACAGTCACCCTGTGTCCGCGGCACACAGCCTGGGGGGGGAAGACCGTGAGCCTTCAGCCTCCGAGAACCAAAACTAAACCTACGGCAGCAGCGGCAAAAAGGCAGGGTTCCCTGCGCTGTAATTAACCTCCTGTCTGAAGGCACCACCAAACCCCTTCGCGTCAGTGCCCGCTGGTGCCCTGCAGCAGTCCGAGAATGGCCACGGAAGGGGAAACCACAGAGAGCCTGGCCTAAGGGTTCACAACACCCCTCAAAGGGCAGGGGTGCCCTAGCGCCAACCGGAAACCCTCCTGACTCCCGGCCCCACGCCACAGAGGGCCCCACGTCTCCGGGCGTTCCCAGGGCGCTAATGAACACTGGGGCCACTGTCACACCTCAAAACAGCTCTCAGGGTAGACACGGGCCCCACTTTGATGTAAGGAAATCAGAGCTCAGAACTCAGGGAAACGTGCATGAAACCAGCAGCGAAGTTCATCTCTACCATCGGAAGAAGAACACCTCCACCCCCCTGCAACTTGGGAGGGCTCTGGAAGGTTCCTGCCTCTGAATGCCCCAGCCCACCGCTGGCCTTGCAGCCTCCAGGCCACGGGCACGAACATCGACGGAGGCACAAATCCCAGCGAAGCTGGCGGCAGTGCGGGACCAGGCCCACCAGCAGTGATACGGGCACGCTCCGCTCCACTCCAGGGTTGGCCAGCCGTGGCCCAGGGATGTGCCTTCCCTCACCTCCCCCAAGTGAGGCGAGCGCAGGACACTAGAGCACCAGATCCTTCCCTGAATGAGCCATGGCGGGGCTGGTGCAGCCTGACTCGAAGCCGCCACGGAAGGACCCGGTGAGGGACAGACCAGAAGAAATGCCTGGGGCCCAAACTCACAGGGCCCGCCCTCCGGCCTGGGCACCACGGCCTCAAGTCGCTTGCTCCCCTGCTTGTGTGAGCGGGAAGGCCCTCTGAACACTCAGGCCCTGCCCCTGCGTGCCTGCACCTGCCGAGACCCCACATTCTCGGCCGCTGGCCAAGGTGCCTCTTCCCACGTGGCCTCAATTTCTGCTTCACTGGCCACGAATGTGAGAAGTGAGGTCCGCCATCCTGACCAGGCCTCCCTGCCCTCCACGCAGAAGGCCACGACCAGCCCACGTCGCCTTCTTGCCCATGGGACCAGCAGCTGCCCGGCAGCCTACCAGCATGAAGGATGCCAGGCCACAAGACCTCTCTGTCCCGGTCAGGAAGGGCCACATGTCAAGGGCCCCCCACCATCTCTTCCCGGAGCCCACACACAGATCTATCATGAACAAGCACAGCGGGAGCCACCTGGCCTCCCCTATCACCTGAGCACTCAGCTCCTCCTACGGGGCCGTGGCCCTGGACTGGCCAGCCGGTCCGCCCTGGTGGCCGTGTGTGGACTGAGTGCGACACCAAGGGCCTGCTCCCAGGGACGCCTGAGATGTGCCCTTGCTCTGAGGTGGCCACTCACTCTCAGAGGGGACCAGGAGGACAAGGTGCCCGGGGGTCCCCGTGGGGGACTGCTGCCTGAGACAGACTCTGGGGTGACTGCCTCACTCTCAGAGGGGACCAGGAGAAGGACAAGGTGCCTGGGGGTCCCCGGGGAGAGGGGGGGACTGCTGCCCGAGACAGACTCCGGGGTGGCTGCCTCACTCTCAGAGGGGACCGGGAGCAGGACAAGGTGCCTGGGGGTCCCCGGGGGGGGGGACTGCTGCCGGAGGCAGAGGCCATGCCCAAGCCAATCCCGAAAGGGATCAATGCGAAGGTCACTCCGCGCTCACACCTGCAAGCCAGTGCGCAGCGAGCCCCTGCGCCCTCGCGTCCCCGCACACGGAAGCCGGCCTTCCTGCCACCTCACAGCCGGGCCTGAGAAAAATGAAGACGACTTTTCTTCCCTCTGACAGTTCGTTCTGTCCCAAATTCAAAGTAAAATGAAGAAGATCGTCTAGAAAAATGTAAAATCTTCAATTTCAAGTCACTTTTAACGCCCGTTTCATCTGACAGTCGCTTTGAAAGCAAAAGGCAATCTTTATCGTTTGAGGTTCTTAAGCTAAATTGACGTGATTATGTCCAACATAACCAGATGCTTCTAAAAGCCCATTTTCAAAGTGACATCAACCCCCAAAATAAGAAAACCTTCCCTCTGGCTCCTAATGAATCCTTAAGATGCCACGTCCACAGAGGGCTGAGGCTGCCTCGTCACAGACCCCCGCAGCTGTCCGCCCCTTGAGGGGTCCCCGCGGGACATGGACAAGCCGCAGCGTCGGGGCAGCCCCGTCCCGCCGGAAGAGCTCTGGGGCAGGCCGAGGAGGCCGGAGGGGGACGCGCCGGCAGTGGGGCGCAGGTCTCTCCTTCGTGCCTGCGGACGGGTCGCCAGAGAAGGGAGGAAGACAACCCTGAGAGAGCCTGGGAGCGGCCCAAGGACAAGAATTTGGTCTCTGTCCCCTCTCCCGGCACTGAGCTCCTAAGAGCCTGGGCTTCCAAGGTGAGAGGGGCATTTCGTCACTCGTAACATGCCCCTCGCGACCCCAGCCCCATCAGAGCTAACGAGGGGACCACAGGAGTGGCTACAGCGACCAATCACATGCTGGGGGGGCTAGGACTTCCAGGTTGGGGATCACAGGGTGGGGGCTGAGCTCTTCACCAAGAGCCAATGACTTCAGCACAGAAACTCCATAAACACCCCAAAGCGGGGCTCTGACAGCTTCTGAGCTGGACAGCAGGCCCAGGTGCTGAGAGGGGCATGCCCAGAGAGGACACGGAAGCTGTGCAACCCCACCCCTCACCCCCGGTCCCCCCCCAGCTGGCTGCTCGGAACGCATTATTTATCACAAACCAGTGACTGCACGTGAAGCGATTTCCCGAATTCTGAGCTGTTCTAGCAAATCCTCAAACGAGGCTGGGGTGGCGAGGGAAACCCTGCGTTTGCAGGCAGCCAGGGGACCCAGGACTGGAGACCGGGGTCTGGAGTGGGGGCAGAGTGTGGGACCGAGCCCTCCACCTGTGGGGTCGTGTCAGAACGGGACGGAATGACAGAGCGCCAGCTGGCCTCAAGTGGCATTCGGCGTCAGGAGGAAAAACCTAGCACAGGAGAAGTCACGCAGCGGCTGGCCGGCAGGCCTCCCTCCGGGAACGGGACTCCTTCCTTGCCGTGCCGCCTCAGGGGCGGGTTTTCCTATTACTCGCCACCAGGGGCGTCCCGGCTTCCATTCCTCTCTGCGCACACAGGGCACAAACACACAGACGCTTCCCCCCCGCCCCCATCCACCGCAGCCTGGGGTCCACACCATCAAGGGGTCAGTCGGAGCCCAGGCCACAAAGACAGGCCGGCAAAGACAAAGAGGTTCCCGATCCAGGCGCACATCCTTCTCATGGCCCCCCAGAGCACCAGGAAGGCAGCAGGCGGCCCGGCAGTCACATGCTGCCTCGACAGGGTCCCCACCGTGGGACAGAAACGGGGGCACCCTTCACCCGCAAGACCGGCCCAGCCCCCGCTCACTCAGGCCGAGGGAACAGTGACGCACAGCTGTTCCCGAGCCAAGCCCAGGGGACGCACGCTCCCTGGCGCCCCCGCTGTCCGAAGCCAATGCCCCCCACGACCACCGGGGCCAGCAGGCCTACCTGCTGGTGATGACATTGTTCCGGTCCTGCAAGGCAAGTTCTCGCTGCTGCAGGTCAACGATGAACCTGGAAAGGTCTTCCGGGGTCCTGCGGGACCAACAACACACGTTAGCATCAGCCGTTGCCCAGAGGGGACCTCATTCTGTGAGTCCCAGACCTGGGACAGCTCAAGCCCCGCACACCGTCCCCGGGCCAGTGTGGTGGGGGCACTGCACACGCACCCCAACCTGGGTTCAAACCACAGCCCGCCACTGGCCACGTAACATCAGGTGAATAACTTTTATTTGACAGGATTTTAGTTCACCTGTAAAAAGCGATCAATAGCCAGCCGACAGCGTCACAGTGCAGAGGAGGGGAGATGAGGTGCAGGGGTGCTCGGCATGGGTCAGCATGCCCTCCTCCCCTCTCTCCTCCCTCCAACCAGCAACAGTAAGAGACACCCACAGTCTGTGCTTTGTCACGTTCAAGCTGCTCAGCCTGGCGTGTGGGTTCCCCTTCAGGACAGCCCTGCTGCTGCCCCGTCCCCTATGCAGACGAGGAAGCGGGTCCAGGGCATTAAAAGTGCCCCAGGGTGCAATGGTCTTTGAGCAGTGCTGGACCTCAATCTGGCTCCTGGTAACTCAACACCGTAACTCAGAACACGCGCCAACGTCTCCGAGAGAATGAAAACACCCAGCTCGGTGGGAACGTTCCAGACACAGCACAAAGCACGCAAGCTGGGGGCTCCCTGGCCTGCAGGTGGCGGGTGAGCTCAAGGCCGACGGGCCGAGCACAAGGCCAGGCAGCACGTGCGAGACAGTACGGCCTCTTCTGTCACCAAAGGAGCCACGGGGACTGTGACCAAAGCTACACCCACAGGACTGACCCTCCGCAGAATCAGAGTCCGTCACAAAGCTGTGGGAGCGGCTATTGGTCACCGTGGCGCCCGAAGGCCCTCTTCCTGGCCTCTCACGGCACCCCGGTACCAGGCTCCCAGAAACACCCCACTACCGGGCCAGGCCCGGGGGCTCCGCCACCCACAGCCTTGCCTCTGGACACGAACCCGCCAACCCACTGCCCCCGGACTCCGCGGCAGGTCACCCTGGCTCACAGTGCTCCTCCTCAAGCCGTATCACGACAACCGGCACCTCCCGGAAGAGGGCCGCTCCCCATCCCACCTGCCGCGCTCGGCGCGCATGCGCGGGGCCTCTCGGGGCCTCTCGGGGTCCGCCGTGACGAGAACGTGAGCTCCCAGCACCGGCGCCTGGCAGCCGTCCACGCGGAAGCCCTGCGCAGCCCAGTCCTCACACCCCTGGGCCTCTGTAGGCCACACGCCTCCCACAGGTGCCCCCCGGCTCTCCCACCCTCAGTCACCCTCGCAGACGCCCCCCACCCCGAGATGAAGCCCCTCACTGGGCCTGGGGGAACCCCTGCGCTCCTCCCCGCGAGAGGATTTAAGGGACCTCACGCAAGACCGTCACCCAGGAGGGGGAGCCTGTGCCGGCCTTGGATGTCAGCTCCCACTCTTCTGGGAGCTTCTTCAAGCTCTACGACCTTGGGACTTAAAGACACTGGCACAGAAAGAAGGAAACCTCTTCAAGCCAGGAGGGATTTCTCTCCGAAACATCCCACAGAGACGATCAAGCGGTCGTTCCTCTGTGTTACTCCGCCGAAGGGGTGTGCGGACCGTTACCAGAGCCGCAGGCCAGGTTTACTGAAAACAAATCCACAAAAGACCCCGGCCCCCGGCCCGCTGCCGGCCTTGTCTTCCGCTCAGGCCCGTGCAGAGGACCGTCAGCAGAGGGCCACCCAGTCTCTCAGGGATCTCGGCGGCGGAGGCGGCAGCCCTCTCCCCCGGAGGGCGGGTGGCCTGCGGCTCCCTCCCGCCAGAGCCTTCCCGGAATCTGGAGCCCAGGCGGCGGGGTCGGGAGCACCTGACAACAATTTGGAAACCAGCTTTGGGCCCTGGGGCTGGAACCCGCCCCCGCAGAGCTGGCGGTAGAGCCGGCGGAGCGCCCAGACCCACTCTCACCGGGCTCTCCGGCCTCCTTCCGAGCGAAGGTAATGGAAACGAGCCAGTTTAATGATGAGGGGAACACCGCAACGGCTCAGAAGAGGAGGAAAGGGACCTTAACGAGCCGTCCCTCTGAGATGCTCCATCCCACTGACGGCGGGCACCCGCGTCCCCTGGGACCCAGGCCAGTGTGCACGGGCCGCCCACACACGCGCGCGCACGTACACACACCCGGCCGCGCCCAGGAGGCCGGGGTCTCTGCCCCTCCGCTCAACACTCACACGGAGGCCATCAGGCGGCCAAGTACTGCCAAACTTCTGGGCGGCCATCCGGGTCCCAGCCCCACCAACGAAGCAAGCAGCAAACCTGCTTTCCCTCCCCTCCCCCAGAGAACACCGGGCCTGCCGACGTGGCCCCCTTCGCCGGAGGCGGGGGACGTGGGCGGCCGAGGTCGCCCGAGCCCTCACTGCCCCTCCCGGAGCAGGTGGGTCGTCCCCGCACAAACCACAGGCACGAGGATCTGGCTCACACGCCCGTGGCGGACTCTCCTCCGGGCTGGTCCTTGGCCACAGTCCCAGCCCCCGAATCCCAGGTGCCACCACTGAGCCACCCCCTCCTCGCAGAGCAGGGACGTGGGCTGCAGAGCCTGCCTCCCCCACGTGCCCCACCGCACAAGCCTAGAATGCGTGCACGATGCCCACACCCGCCCCGGCCTCATGCCACCACCGGACAGCCTTTCCCTCGGTGGCCTGCGACTCTGGCTGCAACGAGACCCAGGGCCCTTCTGGTCACTCCCACCAGCACTAAAAACCCAAAGCACAGAAAACTCTTGGCTACGCTCCAGAATCTCCCACCGACCTCAGCGACAGCGAGAAGCCAGGATGTCTTCGAGGAAAGAGAGCGGGTTCAGTCACGGTCCAGACAACCGCAGGCTGACGCGCCAGCGCGACAGGGCTCCTCTGGCCTATCTCCAAAGCCCCGAGCCCCAGGCATGGTGCAGTGTGAGCACCCGACAACCCTCGCGCAGCCGTCAACCGCACGGGAGCAGGGAGAGACGGGAACCTGGACAACCGTCTCCTGAGGTGCACCAGCCAACCCATTTAACGCCGTGTGGGAACAAGGACAAGGCATGGGTGACAACGACGGTGAAGTTGTCACACCTTGTTACATAACTGAGGAACATAAAGTCCAACGTGAAATAAGTAATCGGTACGTTAAACCGCGTGGAGTCCTGCAGACCCTCAGGTCTGCAGCTGATCAAAAAGAAAACACGTTCTGCTGGAGGACCACCGTGTATGAGCTTTAGTTAGAAATGGTGCATGGAGGGCGATGGTTCCGGAATGTTCCGCACAAGAAAAAGGAGAGACGGAGAGGTGGGTTTTGCAACAAGTAGACACTCTAAAGCCAGAAGGCTGAGCCAGGGGCAGGGGTCCTGGCTACAGGTGACCTCTCAGGAAGCTGCCCCAGCACTTGGCTTGCTGTGAAAACACACCCTAGGAAAGGAGGTGGGTAGATCAGGCACCGAGGGACTTGAACTGACCAGGTCCCCTGGGGCACAGCTGAAGGCGTTCGGGAGGCACCTGGGGGCAGAAGAGACAACAGCAAGGGTGAACTCGCTCATCCCCAGGTCTCCGTCAACCGGGACAGCTTCCCTGTCTGGTGTGTGGCTCCCGTGACCTGGCCGTGCAGCCCCCACTACCCCAAGGAGGGTCGGGCCGTTGGACAAGGTAAGAAACGTAACCAAGAGGAGAGTCCCCGCCCGCCAACCCAGAAGCACTCTTCAGGGAATGCGTGTCAAGGAAGCAATGGTGCGTGCCTACGTAGGTGGGGTGGCAGTCTGTCCTCCTGTGGTAAAATACTCCTAACGCGACATTTATACCCTCTTAAGCATCTTTAAGCATCCAGCGCGGGGCATCAAGGGCCTTCACCTGCAGAACTTTCTCATCTTCCCAAACTGAAACCAGGTCCTCGTCGAACGCCCCTCCACACCCGTCCCCAACCCCGGGCGCCCCCGCCTACTGTGTCTGTGGACTGGACGTGAGGGGGGCCACACGGTCCTTCTGTGGCTGACGTCACTGAGCACCGCGTCGGAAAGGCTCACCCATCTTCTGGGTCAGAGTGTCCTTCCCCCCTGAGGCTGCACAATACTCCAGCGTGTGGACAGACCCTGCCTCGTCTCTCCATCACCATCTCCCCACCAGCTGTCGCAGACGCGGCTGTGAACACGGGCGCACAGCTATGTGTTCGAGTCTGTGCTTCTGACTCCTGGCTACATACACACAAGCGGGGTAGTTGGATCATTCCATCCTTGGTGTTCTGAGGAACCGCCATGCTGCTTTCCACAGCAGCTGCCCGGCGCACATTCCCCACGTCACTGTCTTTCACGTTTAAAAAAAAAAAAAAAGCTCAATAATGGACGGTAAGTAGGTTCTCACACGGGTGCCATCTACTCATGAGACTTGCTGCTGGGCAAGGAGGGGGCAGGCAGTTGCCACAGCAGCACAGGGCACGGGGAGAACACGGGGGGCGCACTCACTGGACAGGACAACGGGACACGCGGGGTTCCGCAGGTGGGGGCACCGTAACGGGGTGGGTCATCTGGAATGGGAACAACGGTCTACATCATCCAGAGTCACTCCGGCCCACACACATCCACCTCTCAATCCATGGAATCAAAACCCCTGGAGATGGGCCGAGGACCTACAGACGAGTTCCCGTGTTTCCTACGCACAACTCAGAACCCTGGTCATTTGCAGAAAAATGGGGGCAATCCAAGCAGCAAAACTATCCCACGGACGCTGCAGGGCAAATCACCAAAAAGGTTATGCCCTCAAGAAAACCACCCACCGGACATGCGACAAAACATTCTCTGAGACTCTGTCCACTTGATAGACGACCACTAGACTGGGTAATTAGGTCCAAATCAAAAAGCAGAATCCCAGAAGACAAGGCCATGAACTACCACGGCCCTCGTTTTATGACGGGGGCGCAGAGGCACAAAGCAGTGAGGCTGCGTGCCCACGTCACACAACCCGCAACCGCCGGGGCTGGGGGCACACCTAGGCTGGTTTCGTACAACAGGGCACACTCAACG